GCAGTGCTCAAGGCCAGGTTGGACACAGGGGCTTGGAGCAAGCTGCTCTATGGAAGGGGTCCCTGCCCGTGGAACTGGATGAGCCTTAAGATCCCTTCCAACATGAACTTTGATTCCATGATTCTATGCCCAGGATTTTGAGGAGGAATCCCTTCTGGCCATGAAATCCTCCGCGCTCTGCAGCTCCTGGAGGCCATGTCTCAAACGTCACTGCTTTGCCAAGCAGCTCCCAGTCCTGCGCCCATTTCACACTGGTTTTCAGCCACCGGTAAATGCGGTGCTGCAGTTCCAGGAACCAGCATCCCTGGGGAGAGTCCCGGGCGCAGTAAATCAGTGCTGAGATGCCCCTGAACGTCAGCAGGGTCAGGGCTGGCGTCCTCATGGGCAGAGTGCTCAGCTTCCCTCCAAATCCCAGGCAGAGCAGCAGGGCAGACTTGTGCCTTGGGAAGCGCTGGGTTCCCGGGAGCTGCGGGGGCTCTGGGAGCAGAGAGGCTCTTTCATTGTCCCAGGGTCACATCGCTGGCTGGCAGCTGCCATAGACCTGGGATCCCTGCGATCCGGGATCCATCTTTGCAGGTGCTGGAAGTTGCCGCCTGCAGCACAAGGGATTGCGGAGGGCACCCAGCCAGGATCTCTTGGGGATGCAAATCTGGGCATTCCAGTGGCTGCGGGGAACCCGCTCCGGAGTGCCCCGGCTGTAACGTGAGCAGGATCCGTTCCACATCCATATTGCATGACCCCGCTGCGGCCAGCCCGCTTCCCAGGAGCCGTCCCGTGTGGGAAAAGGAGCCTGAGCCCCCTGGGACAGGAAACCCAGGGGAGCAGCGTGCCCGGACACCAGCGCTGCCCAGCAGGGACTGCATTTGGTGCGGTTCCACCTCCGTAAGCGAGGCCAGCCCGGTCCGTGCTGTGCTCCGGAGCCATGGAAAATCCCCCAGGGAAAAGCACTCCCTCGTCCTTCCTGTTCCAGCGAGCGGCTGGCTCCTGGCACTGTGGCCAAGGCTCCGAGGCTGGGAGTAACCTCCATTGCGCTGAAGGGTCTTTCTGCTGCTCTTGCTGCGTTTCGGGGTAGCTGCTGCTCCAGCACGGGGAATGCCGTTGGAGCTGCATAGTTTGAGACGTCCCGAGCCACCGCGCTCAGCCCGGTGTGCCGTCGAATGGCCACTAATGCTTAATGCTTCCCCGTGGGTATCCAGTGAAGTGCTCGAGCAGCATTGTGTTCCCTTCCCCAGGCCCCTTTGGGCTGCCGTGGGGTCACCAGAGCCCTGCAGAAGCTCTTTGTGCCCATGAGCTTTGCGTTTCGGTTCGGTGCCGGGGCAGGCACCGTCCACCCGAGCCGTGGGTGCTGAGCAGGGCGATGCCGTCCCTTCCCAGCGGTAACCGGGGCTCTTTTCTCTCCTGTCCCGCAGAAGATCCAGCAGCTCTCCGAAGGGTCCATGTTCGGCCACGGCCTGAAGCACCTTTTCCACAGCCGCCGGCGCTCGCGGGAGCGGGAGCAGCAGAGCTCGCAGGAGGCTGCGCCGCCGCCCTGCGCCGCGTCCGACCACGACTCCCCCGACGAGAAGGAGAGGTCCCCCGAGATGCACCGCGTGTCCTACGCCGTGTCCCTGCACGACCTCCCGGCGCGTCCCACCGCCTTCAACCGCGTGCTGCAGCAGATCCGCTCGCGCCCCTCCATCAAGCGCGGCACCAGCCTGCACAGCGGCAGCCGGCGCGCCAAGAGCGGCTCCTTGGAGCCGCAGAAGGGGAGCCCCCATCTCCTCCGCAAGGCCCCCCAGGACAGCAGCCTCACGGCCATCCTGCATCAGCACCAGGGCCGCCCCCGGTCCTCCTCCACCACCGACACTGCCATCCTGCTGGCCGAGAGCGGGGCCGTCTACCTGCTCACCGAAGACACCGAGTGCCTGGCCGATAAGGTACCGTGGGGGCACGAGCACGCGCTGGGGGCTGTGGCAGGACGGGGTGCGGATCACCCCAAGATGCTGTCAGGAGGAGATTGTCCCTGGTGACCCTGGGTGTGCACGACAACAGTGGCAGCCCCTGACTGGGAGTGAGTCAGGGCCTGAAGCTGCTGCAGCTGCTGCTCCTGTTGCAGAGAAGTGAAGGCAGGGATGTGCCCAGCTCCAATTCCCAGAGTGGGGTTTGGGGGAGAGAGGAAGGGGTCTGTCAGGAGCTCTGTGCCCGGTGGGACCCCGGCACGGGGCTGGAGGGGAGCCCAGGCAGCCCAGCACTGGGTGTCTGCAAGGGGCTGGCCAAGCGGCTGCAAACAGGTCATGTCCAAAGTGAGTTTTAAAGCAGCCTCGTGCAGAGCTTACAGAGAGGGCGATGCTTCCATCCAGCCCTCGTTTTCCTTTGTTTGTCCTAATTTACCTGAAAATACAGCAGTGAATTGACAGAGCTGCAGGGCTCGGGGTGAGGAGGTGGCCAGGCAGGCCCTAGCACCCATCAGGGGGCTCTTGGCTGGGTGGCTGTTACAGGAGTAGCTGTGCACTAGGGTGGCAGAGCTGCTGCGGCTGGGTGGCAGCAGGAGGATGAGGTCCTTGTGCTGCCCCCAAGCAGTGGGACCCAGTGGGCGCAGGGACCGTGGGTGATGCTTCCCACATGTTCCCCTTCCCCAGCCCCTTGTCTCTCCTTGGCACCGAGAGGGAAATCTGACCTGGAGACTCCTGCTGCCCTCTGAGCTCATGGAAACAGGATCAAACAGATCCTTTTCCTTTCTGTTTTCACTCGGGGGGTTCAGTGCTGCAGCTGACGCTCAGAGCTCGCAGATGGTGCCAGTGCTGCTCCTCTGCCACAGCCACGTGGGGACAGAGCCACTGCCAGGATGTGGGAATCTGGTCCCAGAGGATAAACATCATTGTAATCAGTGGCTTTGCTGCCCAGGTCCCTCTATCCCCCTTTACCATGTGCAAATCTGGACAGCCTGGCCCTTCCCTGGCAGTCCCCACTGGCCCACAGCACCCGGACCAGGCACTTGAGGAGGGCCAGGAGCCATCCGGGTTGGTAATTTGGGTACCAGCAGCCAAAATTCCATCCCTCCAGCCTGTGGCATTGGCCTTGCAAGGAGCTGGGTCCCTCTGAGCCCCTGGGGTTATGGCTGATGCTGTGAGCTAAAGCAGCTCGCACCAGGACAGGAGCTCCCAGGTCCGTGTCCGCTCCCGGAGCAGCACAAAGGGGATGAATAATTAACTGCATATGACACAAAGAGTAATAAGGAGAGAGGCGATACTGGGCCTTTGTGAGGCAGTGGAAAAATAACCTGTTTAGAGAAACAAGAGCTGGGTGATATTGTCAGGCTGTATTATTTTCCTGTAGCCCTCAGGAAACCCATCCTCCTGCCCTCTTCCTCGGGGCTGGATGGTGCTGCCAGGCCTGCACACACGTGGCTCTGCTCTGTCAGACCCCGGCACTGAGCTTGCACCCGGTTTGCCCCCAGAAATGCCATGCTGTTTTCTCCACCCGTTGCATAAGGGGCTGAGCTCACGCTGGGTTAATCCCCTGTGGGATTGCTCAGCCTCAGCAAGCGCTTTTTGAGCAGCTACTGATTCCTATTGCCTTTTACTTTGTAATTGGCTTCTTGCAGTTCTTCCCTTCCCTACCTTCGCTGCTCTGTTCCTCACCGCCACTGGGCCACCCTCTGCCTTGCTGAGGCCAGGCACACATGGCTCTTCCCCCTTAAGTCCCCCCAAGAGGCAGCTGCTGGGAGCAGACGGGGTGGCTGGAGGAGGCGGGTGGGAAAATGGCCCAGGCTGAGCATTCAGCACCAGGCACTGGTCCTCGCTGGGGCCCATGGTGTAACCCCAGAGACGCTCGTGTGTCCCCACACTGCCCGCACTGTGGGCATCGTCACCAAGCCATGACCCCAAAGGGGCTGCTGGCCTGTCACCTGTGCCACACGCTGGGACAAGGCTGTGCTCTGCAGGGTGATGCTTCCCCTGCATCCTTCCCCCCTGCTCTACCCACCTTGTGCACGCACAGAGCTCCGGATGAGGGTGAGCTGGCTCCGACATCCCCCTGCCTCCCACCTGCAATTGCACACAGCTTGGGACTGAGGTTGTGTGTGTGACTGCGCTCCAGGAGCCGCAGCTGGTCGGTGGGTGCCCATGGGATGAGTGTTCCCCGGTTTGCAGCACCACGGAGCTCTGCTTGTTGGTGGGCTGGGAAGAAGTCCCCTCTGCAGGGCTGCGGGTACCACGGGACCTCCAGCATCCACTCTCGTGTGCATCCCGTCGTGCATGGCTGGTTCTCAGCCCAAGCAGGGTGGCACAGTTGGGGTGTACGCGGGTGCTGGTGCATCCCAGGGAGCGCACGGCGGTGGCGGCGGTTCACACGAGGACGTGCTGGCTTGCGGACACGGTGGTGGCGGCAGCGGCACGGCTGGGGCAGGGAGCGCGCTCAGAGCTCTCCCCTTACCTCACTGGTCTGCTCCTGGTGACCCGCCAGCGCCTCGCTGGAGCCGCACGCAGGCGGCTGTGGGGCGGCCCCGCAGCCCCCCGGCCCTGCAGCGCTGGGGTCAGCCGAGCCCCGGGGCTGGCGGGGCAAAGTCCCGCGGGGGGGACCCCCCCATCCCCGCTGGGGCGGCCGGGGCTGGATCGGGGCGGCCGCGGGGTCCTGTGCCTGGTGCTGCCCGGGAGCTGCACGGAGGCCTGCGGGGGCTGCGGCATGGTCCACGCGCAGGTGAGAACAGCGCGGGGACGGGCCGGTGGGGGGGGGGGGGTCCCCCCGAGCCCCCCGCAACCAGCGTGGGGGGAGCCCGTGGGGCCGTTAGAGGGCAGCGTTACCGCAGCGGTGAGCGCTGCGCCCGCCCCGTCCGGGCCGGCTCCCCCGCGGGATCCGCTCCCACCGGTCACGAGTGGGAGGCTCTCAGCGCCGCCGAGCAGCTCCCCAAGGATGCGAGGGACCGGACCTGGCCCCTGCCCCTGTGCCCTCGGTGTCCCTCGCAAGTGACAGCACCAGCTGCTGCTGCACCCCCGGGCCCTCCCTGTGCCGCCTTGCCCGGGAGACACAGGGGAGGAACGGGGGCGGCTAAAGGGGGCTCGTGCCACGTCTCCGCTTTGGGCTCACGGGCGGGTCTGGCTGCTGCGAGGCTGTGAGCTGAGCTCATGGCCTGAGTGCCCCATCTCCCTGCTCCTGTCTCCTCCATCCACACCCCTGGGGCCTGCCCAGCCTCTGGGAGGTGGTCCGAGGGTCCTGGACCTGTGCTTATGGCCCCGTCCCCACTGCCCTGCTGCCACAGGGCAGGATTCATCCTGCTAAGTTTAGCTGCCCAGCGGGTCAGTGGCTATATCGGGGTGAGGCGGATTAGAGTCAGCAGCAAGAAACCCGCAGTCCCTGAGCATCACCCCGCGTGGCTGTGGCCATCAGTGGCTGAGAGGCCGTGGGACAGCTCAGGGCCACCAGGCAGAGCTCATCTCCCCTGCCCAGGCCTTTCCTTTCTGGCTACAGCGTGTCCAGCTCATCCTTGCTCCCTCTGGCTCCACAGCATCCGATCGGTTTCAGGGCAGGGAAGTGGTTTGTCACCTCCTACAGCTCTGGTTACCCAGGACGGGTCGCAGGCAGCCTGCTTTCTGGAGGTGTGGAGCACCCCGAGGTGCTGGCACAGCTAAAGGCACATGGGACCTTCAAGTTTCACTGCTTTTGGTTGCAGTCTCCGCATTAACCCATGCAGGAGACTTGCGGCAGTGGTTTTCCCTTACTCCCTGCCTCAGTTTCCCCAGCTGGGAACAAGAGCCAACACTTCCATGTGTCTGGGGAAGTCCTTTGCATCTCTTCAGGAGGATTTGCTGACAGAGGCAACGCGCATCCTCCCCTCCCACCCAAACTGCAGGCAAGTTCTGGTGTTAAAATCCCAGGGGAAGGAGCTAAAACAGGCCAGTGGTGACTGCAAGCGTGAACAGAGAGAATGGTGGTGGTAAAGCTGTGCTGCCTGCAGCCCTCTGGCCCCACATCCCCTCAGCAGCATCCCAAGGGGATGAGTCGGGAGCATCCCTACAAGCTCCCCAAGGGTTCTGGGGAGGCAGGACTGACCTTGGCTGCATCACGGATCTGGAGGTGTGAGAGCATCGTGTCCAGGTCAGCTCCCACCTCTCCACCTCCCCACGTCAGGGGAATGAGAGCGTGAGCGAAGGGTGGTGGTGGGAACTCATTCCCTCACTCCTGTTGGGGTGATGCGTTGAGGAGCACTTTGGGAAAAGCAGATAATAGCTGTGAAGACAAAGATACCCGAGATTGCTGCTTAATTAATTCAGCTGAAGAAGAATATCAGGCTCTCGTACTGATTCACCCCCTAGCAAAAGACAGCGTGTTCCTCAGCCTTCGTTGACATATGGCTGTTGTTTCCAGCCCACCAGCAGCTCCCGCTCCATGGCAGGCAGGCACTGGGAATGCCGCCTGTCCCGGGTGATTTAGACGGAGCAGGCAGCTGGGGTCAGCATGGATGCACAAGGTGGGTAGGGCAGGACTGAGGAGTGAGTGCCCATGGGTTTGCTGTTCCATTCTGCCCGTCCCCTGCCACTCCAGGCTTATCACTGAGAGCAGGATTTGGCTCCTGAGTCAGGATGAGCAAAGCAGGGTCCTGCCTTGTGCCTGCTCTCCTCTCCTCGCCTCGCTGTGCTCTGCCTCTCCCTACTTCCCCCTCAAGCACACAAAACCTGCCGAAAAGCCTCCCAGACACCCTGACAGAGGGGTCAGAACCCGGGCACAGCAGGGGCTGGGGGTGCTGCTGGTGGGTCCAGTGCTGTCCCCCAGCAAGAGAAAGGGCAGCGCCATTACCTGTACAGCAGTGGGGGTTTGTCCACATGCTCCAAGCGTCGGCAGGGCCCTGAGCAGCCTCAGCCGTGAGGGACGGTCCTTGAGCCCTCCCTGCAGAGCTGTCCCTCCCGCTGACCTGCAAGCACAGGGGACAGTCCCCAGCCCGGCGGATGCGGTGCTAGGTGAGGGAACACTGGCTAGGGGTGGGCACAGCCCAAGGGATGGATCCCGGGATCTGCCCACCTGGATCCGCTCCCCTCCTGCTGCCCCGAGAGCCCCATGGCACGGTGGCACTGTCCCAGCTCAGCCGGGCAGGCAGCGCTTGGCGGTGCTGTTGTTCTCCCAGCGCCCTGTGGAGGAGCAGGACCGGCCCCTGTGGCACCCAGCCTGTTCCCGGCTCCCTCCCTGCTCGCCAGCCTGTGCTGCTTGTTCTTGGCTGCCTCAGAGCCTCGGCTGCCTCCTCTGCAAGCGCTCCCTGTGCGATCCTCGGCCCCTTCGGCTCCTTCCCCGCAGCCATGGCAGAGGGAGAGGATGCGGCTGCCTCCCGGAGCAGCGGCCAGGCGCTTTGCAGGAGTGACCAGGGCATCCTCATGGCAGAGCTGCATCCTCCCGAGCCCTGCCCCGGGAAAAGGATATTGCTCCTCAATTCGCTGCTGGGTGTCTTCGTGAGTATTCCCCTCTGCTCTCCTTCCTGCTCCTTAGGCGAGGCAAGGACTCGGGATGCCCAGGAATACGGGGTGAGGAGCTGCAGGCGATGGTCAGGCTGCTGCTGGGCTCTGTGCAGCTGCCCACTTGCAAGGGTTGAGATCTTGTCCAAGAAGCCACTTGCTTTGGACACCAAATGCACTCAGGAACGTGAGGCTCAGGAGCAGTGTCCTGGCTCCCAATAATCCATATGCAGCTTTCCCAGCCTGGCTGAGAGCACTCTAGTGCAGCTCAGCCGGAATTCCTCCTTGCTTCTCCATGCTAAGCCCATCCGCAGCTGCCACCCCGTAAAGGCAAAGCCCAAGCCTACCATTTGCTCTGCATGTTGTGTGGCATCACCAGGTGACCCGTCTCGTGGCTGAGATGCTCGGACCAGGGCTCTGTAGGTGCTCAGGGCTGGATTCTGCACCACCCAGCACCAGCACACACCAAATGTGCTGTGATTTTGTGGCCATCCAGAGATTTTCTTTGCCATCCCAGCAGGGTTTCTGCATGTGAAAGGGAGGGAAGAAGCTGCACTGCTGCTCTGCTGGGGCATCAACAGGCACCGGTCTTGCTTCTGCATTATTTGCTGCTCCTAAAATTCCCCTTGTGCTGGGGAGCTGAGAAGAGGCAGTTTCCTCTGAATGCAGCTGCCTGAGGTGTCCAAGGAATAACAAAGTCTCATCCCAAGCATCCTGGCATTTATCAAGTCCTTTATCAGGAAGCAGGGCTGTGCCTGGCAGCCCCAGGAGGCTGTGAGGGAAGCAGATGGGCTTTGGGGCAGCCCCAGAAGGGGGAGCTGGGAGGCAGAGGGTGTTTTCCAGAGTGCCTTGTGCAGCTGGGGGTTTTTCCCACCCTGCTGAGAGCGATGGGAAGTGACCTCTGGCTCCTGAGCTAAACCGAGAAGTGATGCTATGAGAGACAGCAACCCAAAGATGATGTCCCTCAGTAACCTGCCCACAGGCATCCACGGCCCCGGGCTTGGCCAGGCTGCAAACCCCACCCTGGCTGCAGTGTCTGTGCGGCTCCAGGATGATCCCTGCTCCTTCTCACCCTTCCCTGTCGAGGCTGAGCACCACATGGGAGGCACGACTGGCTCCTGCTCCTGGGGGCTGTGACTTCCTTGGGGAATCTGCTCTTTGGGCTTTGGGTACGGATGGTACCATAGCCGCTGCTGATGGGCGAGAGGATGGGAAAGGGGCTCAGCACTGCCATGCACAAAGGTTGCTCACGCAGATGGGGAAAGGAGGCTTTTGCCCACAAGATCCTGTCCTCCGGAGAGGACAGACTGAGAAACACAGGGGCTTGGTGCAGCCTGTCCCATGCCCCCAAACACTCTCATCCAAACCCCTGCCAGGCATGGCTGGGGATACCCTGAGCAGGAATTTGGGGCCACAGCATCCAGAGCTTGGGCTAAAGGCATCCAAGGGATTTAGTTCCTGGTGCTGAACTGTGCTTTGGCAGCTTCACATCACGGATCGGTCCATGAGAGCCTGCTCCGGCTCTGCCTCCTCCCTGCTCCTTGTGTCCAGGGCTGCAAGCACAGGCTGGGAGGGCTGAAGGTGATCCAAGGAAATGCCTTCCCAGCTCCGAGCAGCCCCGGCGAGGCTGCTGCTGTGCCGGTTTCCTGCTGTCACATCACTGAGGTTATCTGAGCAGTGCAGGCAGCCCCTGCTCCGGAGCTATCAGAGCTCAGCAAGGGAAGCATTCCCACATGGAAGCTCTGCCGGAGTTACAAGGGTGTCTGGTGGCTGTGGTGAGGTTTAGGGAGGCTCCATTCGCAGGATGAGAAGGGACTAAAGGGATGGTGCTTTTGTGGAGCTGTGGAACCAAACCTTCCCGATCCATCCCTGCCAGGGCAGGGCCAGCTCCAGCACAGGCAGCAACGAGCACCATCGCTCAGAGGTGCAGCATTGCACCCAGAGCCTCTCCAAGGCAGCAGGTTCCCCTGCCAGGGCATGGATGGATGTAGAGGAAGTCCGAGGTGATGGGAAGCAGGAGGCTGAGCAGTGCTGGGCTCGGCTCAGCGGTGGGAGCAGCACAGTCTTCCCCATTAAACATGCATCTGGGTCACGATCAGCTCATCGGTCTGGCCTGCACAATTCACTGTGTGCCTGGAAATGCTTCCTAAGCTGCTGTTGTCTCGTCGTTTGGTTGGGATTTTAATGAGAAACAGCTCAAACCAGAGCTGTAAATGACCCTTCCTCGTGTAGCTCCTGGTCTGGGGCTGCACTGGTGCTCTGATCTCCGGCTGTTTCAAACAGCCCCAGCATCAGCTCTGTGCACTGAGGGCTTTGGTGTAAGTCTGTGGGTTGAATTCTGCTTCCCTCCATCACTCTTATCCAGGCTTGATGCTGCAGCAGTGGCCACATCATCCTGCTCTGTGCAATCCCACCGGTTTGGGCTCAAATCCACAGCTCTGGGTCTCCTTTCCCACCCAGGAATCTCGCTTTAGCCCCTCACCAGCTCCACTGGCCCCAGCAATAATGCCGTGCCTGGAGGGTGACTCAAAACTGCCACCAGCTCCTGCAGACCCAGAGCTCGCTGCTTGCTTTTTGGCTGTCCCATTTAACATCTCCAGCACTTGTATCTGCTCAGCCGGCTGGATGTGTTCCCGGGGCATCGCCTGTTCTCCTATCGGCTCGGTGCAGCCTTCCCCATCACTCTCCATGGTGTGAGCGGGCTGGTTCCGGGTCCATCTCCCTGCATGGTGTCGGCCAAGACACCACCAGGTCCTGGCGCAAGTGGCTTTTAGCTCCCTCAGGCTTCCCAGTTCCCAGTCCCCGCTTGACGACTGTGTCGGTCCCAGCCGGGGCTGTGCTTGCTGCCTCTCCCGAGCTCCGTGCCCTGGTACGTGACACAGCAGATGACAGGAGCCCGTCCCGACCCCCTGCGTCAGGGCACAGGCAGCGTATGGGGCTGGAGGCGTGTGAATATCCCGCCACAGGGACGGGGGGGTTGCGTTACAGCTCTGAGAGCTGCCGGCGCTGGGAGCTGTAAACAGCTCTGGCGCGATTCCCGGCTCGGCGATCCCGCCGCAGCCATCGGCTCCAGCCCGGCGCGCTCGGGGACCCGGGGCCAGCCCTGACGGGGGCTGCACCGGGGTTTTCCTCTCCCCCCCCCGCTCGCTGCTACCCCCAAACTTTGCTGCCGGAGCTGCCGCTGTGCCCCGGCCATGGCCGCCAGCGCTGCCCGTGCATCACTGCCCGGCTCCGGGATGCAGCGGGGACGCGGCCGAGCTGCCCACACCGAGTAGCCCTGGGGCACCCGAGCGCTGCCGGCGATGGAGGTAGGTGCTGGAGCTGCTTGGGGTGGGGAGGATGGTGATGGGCAGGGAGAGCCGCGGGGGCTTTACCTACCTCCGCTGCTGGCGCTCGGTGAATGAAACCCACCGGCACGGTCCGTGCCGGCGCAGGGGTGGGAGCTCCGCTGCGAGCTGAAACCTTCACGTTCCTGCCTGTATTATGTAAGGAAAAGCATTCCCAAGCCGGTGAATGAGCAGAGGCAGCTGCTGCCGGCCTGTTGTGTCCATGCAGGGCTGGCAGGGGAGCACGCAGGGCTGCCTGCTCGGGTCCCTGCTGCAGGCTTGAGGAGGCTGGGAAGTGTGAATCAGGGCTCCTGCTTCTATTTTCAAGCCCTGGGATGGGTAACGCGGTCGAGGGGGATGAGAGCTCTGCTCCGGCTGTGAATGCACGTGGGGACACCCAGAGCCCCTGCCACGTTGGCTTTGATTTGCACTCATCAACCCATGGGGTGGATCCTGTCCCACATTGTGCCCATAAAGCGCTCTGAGGAAGAGGGGCCAGCTCAGAGCAGCAGCTCCCGGGTCTGCCCAGCATTCCCTGGCAGCTCGGTGGGACTTGTGTTCTCCACGCTTGAAGGTGCTCATGGTGCAGCTTTCATCCCCACGTTGTACTTCAGCTTGGAACCACGATCACATCTCACAGGGAAAGTCCTTGCTCGGGATGGGTGTGGAGCCAGAGCCACGGCATGAGCTCATCCACTGCGCTTCCTAGTAGGTTGAAGGGGATGGAAACTGGAATAGTTCAGGGCATGAGGGAGCGTCCTGGGAGTTTTGCGCTGAGCTCTGCAATTATTGTGCAATTTGTTAGCAATGGGTTTCAATCCCTTCCAGCCCGGGGCGTGCAGGGACCCCCACAGCCCTGTGCTGGGGCCACAGCCACAACCCGGGCCCCAGGCTCCTCACCTACCACGAGGCTTTGCTCCATCAAAGAAACCAGCATTGCATAACTGTGCCCAGCCGTGGCCCTCCAGGTCCTGTTTGCTCAGCTCCTTAGCCTGAGCCTTTAGCATATCTCAGCTTTCCTGGGTTGAATTCTGTTGATAACAGTTTCCCTCCCTGTGTCCTGCATTCCTCCCGCATCCCACATGAGCCCCTGCTCTCCTGCCTGGAAAACAAGCGCTAGGAAACAGCCCTTTCATTTCGCTGTGCCGAAGCAGCAGGTTTTCTGCATGTAGGGAAAGTGTGCCTTCTATTAATCCCCCTGCTAAATCCACTGCACAGTCATCGAGGCTTGCTGGGATTTAGCAGGCAGTGGCTGGTAATGCTGCAGAGATCGGTATTGTGTCTTTTGGGGGGTTGCTTTCAAAGCAATAACCTGATGGGGCTTTCCCATGGTGTGGCTGAGGCCAAGCAGAGCTTTCAGTGGGGCTCAGGTGAAGGTTTCACCCCAGGCCTGTCAGCGTGGGTCAGCAGCATTGGATCCATGCCATTCCCCACCCTCCTACCCTCCCAAATATGCTCCAATGAATAAACCACAGAGATCAGCTTTGCAGGGGCAAAGCTTTGGGTGATTCCCAAACCTTTCCCCTCTTTGGAAACAAAGCTTGAGCAACTTCTCCCCTTCAGTGCCCCACTGAGCTTTCCCCTTTCAGCATCTCCGGGGCTGCCTTTTCCTTCTGTCTGGTTTGTCCCTGTACAAAGAATTGCAGATCTGGACAAAAAAAAAGTCTGTTTCCTGCTTCTAATTTCTGCCCTTTGATAAGAAACCCAAGCGAAATCCTCTGTCTCCGTGCTGAGACCCCGGCAGGAAGCCTGCAGGCTCCCAGCAGGACAGCAGCACCAGGGAAGGAGGAGATGCAAGGAAACATCGGTGTTTGTTCCTCCTTTTCCCAGCCCCGTGCAGGACCTGCTGCAGGCCGGAGTGTTCCTAAGCAGCATCTTGAGAACATTCCTCCCTCCTGCACAAGGCATTTCCTGGTGATAACACACTCCTAAGTAATGATCTCGCAGCATTATCCCTATTAAAGGGTCATTCGGGGAAAGTGTGATGGAAATTAGACATTATTCAGGTCTGCCAACAGTATTTAACTCTCAAGCAGCTCAATTAGATGCCAGGAGCCATTTATACAACCACTGAGATTTGCACGGGAACCCCAGGAACCGGGAGGATTCAGTGATTTACTGTTCCAAGCAGCGCGGCCAGGGCGGAGCGTGGGAGGCAGGACCTGGCTTTCAGTCCAGGCTCTGCCGGTGATTCCAAGCGTGGCCTCAGGCGAGGAGCTCTCCCAAAGTCTGTAAGATGGGAATGGGTTTGTGCCTGAGCTTCCCAGGCAGCAGCCTGTGCTTGCAGGAGGAGTCTGGCCCTGCCAGGGGAGAAACCTTGGCAAAGCAAGCAGAGGAGTCCCTGCTCCTGCAGCCTGCTGCTCCCTGGGGACCAGGAGACACCCACAGACCAGGCTGGGGCAGTTCCCCTTCTGCTGCGGGCAGGAGGCTAAAAGGCAAAGCCTGAAAAGGAGACTGAAATCCCTCCAGGTTGCTCAGTTCCTGCGCTCTCCGCTGGTTTGGTGGAGATTTGACACTGGACTGCGGGGGGGACTCCCCAGAGTGGAAGAACCCCCCCATGACCTGCTGGTGATGCAGCCATCGCTCTGGTCAACTGCTCTCCTGCCCAGCTCCATTCCCCTCCTACCCTCTCCCCAGGCCGTTACCTCTCTCCCTTGAGCATCCTCCTCCTCTCTCTTTGCCCGCAGCTGGACAAGGGGGATGTGACCGCGCTGAGCCTGCCCTCCGCCGCCGGGCACGGCGACACCGATGGCACCATCTGCCTGGACGTCCCCGAGGGCACCCCCGACCCGCACAGGACGAAAGCGGCCATCGAGCACCTGCACCAGAAGATCCTCAAGATCACGGAGCAGATCAAGATCGAGCAGGAGGCCCGGGACGACAACGTGGCCGAGTACCTGAAGCTGGCCAACAACGCGGACAAGCAGCAGGCGTCCCGCATCAAGCAGGTCTTTGAGAAGAAGAACCAGAAGTCGGCTCAGACCATCGCGCAGCTCCACAAGAAGCTGGAGCACTACCACAAGAAGCTGAAGGAGATCGAGCAGAACGGCCCCTCCCGGCAGCCCAAGGATGTTTTCCGGGACATGCACCAGGGTCTCAAGGACGTGGGTGCCAACGTTCGCTCCAGCATCAGCGGCTTCAGCGGCGGCGTGGTGGAAGGCGTCAAGGGGGGGCTCTCGGGTCTGTCGCAGGCCACGCACACCGCCGTGGTCTCCAAGCCGCGGGAGTTCGCCAGCCTCATCCGGAACAAGTTCGGCAGCGCGGACAACATCGCGCACCTCAAGGACACGTTGGACGACGGGCACCCGGAGGAGGCCTCGCGCGCGCTCAGCGGCAGCGCCACGCTGGTCTCCAGCCCCAAGTACGGCAGTGATGACGAGTGCTCCAGTGCCACCTCCGGCTCGGCTGGAGGCAGCAACTCCGGGGCAGGAGCCGGCGGGCTGGGGAGCCCCAAGTGCAACACGCTGGACAGCCACCACTATAACTTCGACACCATCCTGGAGGAGCTCCGGGAGATCAAGGAGAGCCAGTCGCATCTGGAGGACTCCATGGAGGACCTCAAGACGCAGCTGCAACGGGATTACACCTACATGACGCAGTGCTTGCAGGAGGAGCGGTACAGGTAGGGATGGGGGGGTGCCAGGGTGGAAGCGCATCACCCAGGTTGGACACAGGGGCTTGGAGCAAGCTGCTCTAGTGGAAGTGGAGGAGCTTTAAGGTCCCTTCCAACCCAAACCATTCCATGGCTCTTTGGGAACCACAGGGCTTGTCTGGCTAAGGCAGGGACATGGGGAGCTGCCATCCCCATTGCCCTCCTTCCTGACAGACCCATCCCTTTGGCGTCATAACCAGCTAGAACCAGGAGTGAGGTGGGGCCAGAGGGGCCAGGGGGGTTCTCCAGTGCCAGGGGAAGTAGGGCAGGGGGTTCTCTATGGGGAGACCTCCTGCCCCAGCACCCCTCCATCCCCTGTGTGCAGGTACGAGCGCCTGGAGGAGCAGCTCAACGACCTCACCGAGCTGCACCAGAACGAAATGACCAACCTGAAGCAGGAGCTGGCCAGCATGGAGGAGAAGGTGGCCTACCAGTCCTACGAGAGGGCACGGGACATCCAGGTAGGGGAGCGTGATGGCTCAGAGCCCTCTGCACCCTCCATCCATGGGGCGAGGGGGAGAGGGTGGGCAGATGAGGTCCATCTGCTGACGTGCTGTCCCTTGCAGGAGGCGGTGGAGTCCTGCCTGACGCGGGTGACCAAGCTGGAACTGCAGCAGCAGCAGCAGCAAGTGGTGCAGCTGGAAGGGGTGGAGAACGCCAACGCCCGGGCGCTGCTGGGCAAGTTCATCAACGTCATCCTGGCCCTGATGGCCGTGCTGCTCGTCTTCGTCTCCACCATCGCCAACTTCATCACCCCGCTCATGAAGACCCGCATGCGCATCCTCAGCACCGCCCTGCTCGTCCTCTTCCTCTTCTTCCTCTGGAAGCACTGGGACTCCATCAGCTACTTCCTGGAGCACGTCCTGCTCCCCAGCTGATCCACAGCTGCTGCAGCCCCGGGGGGCTTTCCGTTTCCTGCAGAGGAGAGGGCTGGGGGGACCGTGGTCCAAAGCCTTCAGGTTGCTTCTTCACACACTCAGTTCAGTTGCTTTCCCATCTCTCCATCCTCGCTGCAGCCAGCGGTGAGCACTCGGAGCGTGTTGAAGCTGGGATCCATTGATCTCCTGGGATGTTTAAGGAGGGTGGGATGGGGAATGAAGAAGTGTTTTGGAAGAAACTGGTTATATTTATGGGGCGCGGGGTTTTTCTAGGGTTTTGGAGGCGTTTTCTAAGTGTAATTCTGTTCTGAAGGTCTGTGGGGACGTCTGCAGAGGTTTCCTGTGGTGGGAAGGGTTGAGCTGGACCGAACCCAGCTCCATGCAAACTTTCTGCACAGAGAAGCGCAGGGTTGGCTGGGGATGGAGTTTCCCTTTCATCCTTGACAACCAAGCCAGCAAAATCTCGGTCCTGGGATAGAGCAAGAGCAAAAGCAAAGCAGGTGCTGAAGGAGAACGCGGGTCCAAGGTGAACGCAGCAAGAACGTGTGCATCCCACAGCCTCCCCCAACCCCAGCACCGCCCAGGCAGCCCAGAGCAGGGCTGTGACACTGTCCCTGTGTGCCCGCAGGGGCCTGGGCAGGCACAGGGGACCCGATGCTGCAGTGGGCTCCGGCACAAGTGAGATCCCCTCCGCTGCTTCCCCCTCTGTTATTTATTTCCCCTTCCTTTGGCTGCCGCTGATCCGATCTCTTCAGGGACCCCTGGACTTGCATCCCGCCGCTGTTTGGCAGCCCCTGCACCGTGTCCTCTGTGTGTGTGTGTGTGTGTGTGTGTGTGAGCTCCCATTTAACCCAAGACTGTTCCCACTTGTGAACTGAAGCTGGGGGAGCAGGAGGAGGCGAGCAGGTGCCTTGGCAGCCCCTGCAGCCCTGCGCCAGAGCACAGCATGCTGGCTCCGATGGGTCCGAGATGATTTCATACATATATATTTATGTAATATATCTATACACACACATATATAAATATATATATAAATATGCAGAGTCACAGCCTTCTCTGGGACAAATGGTGCCACGCCACTTACTTTAGAACCAGTTTGCCTTAGCTGAGAATTTAGCCCTTAACCTCTTTGGTGGCACTTCACAGCCCGATGCACAGGGCACGGGGTGCTCTGAGGTCCCACAGGAGGGGCAGAGGCAGTTCCAGAGGGGAAGCTGCACATCTCCCACCTCCTCCACGCTCCCAGGACCAAGCAGGGACAATACAGACCTTTGTGGATGCACTGTGAAGTCTCCCCTTCGACACTGCTCCATCCAGGCTCCACCCAGCCTAAAGCTGTGTTTGGGATTGCCCCGGCCCAGGTCTCTTCGCACCATTAAGTATCTGTGGGAACAAAGCCGTGAGCAGTCACATCTCCGAGCCTGAGCTCCCTAAACCCAGCTCCCTGCGTTCTGCCCGAGCCCAGACCCCGAAGGGAGGAAGAGGACGGGGAAAAGCCTCTTTGC